AGTAGACAGGCAAGCACAGTGTCTATGACACTGACACTGACGCTCTCTCTGACACTGTCATCGTCACAGTCACAGTCACTCTGAATCACGCTATACCTCTCAACTAACTGTATATGTGCCTGCCATCAATACTATGTGGGGACAGTGTCACAGCTTTCAGTTTATTCATTCCCGTGTCACTCAGTGAGTCCAACTTTAACTAACACCGGATATCGAGGTAGACGATAGCTCAGCATACGCAGCACACGTCTAAACCATCTGAATTGGCTAAGGTTCATAACTCCACTAACCAAGTTGATTGCCTTGCCTAGTTGTCATCGCCAAACCTCGACGTTTCTTATACAGTGATCCCACCAAACGTAAGCAATGCTGTAACGACTTATGTGGTCAAAATTCTATAATTTCTCCACAGCTTCGACTTTCAACGATCATTTCTCACAGCCATATACTTGAACAGAGCGGATTGCATTGCAGTTTACTCGTCCTTTGTAACAGGTGGTTGGGCATTTATCTCCCAGTGCCAGAGATCGCGTAATTTGGTGAAACGCCAAACAAGCTTTTTGTATTAGAACTGACATTTTGTTAACAACTAGCCCATTTGGGATGATACAACTCCCTAAGTCAACTGGTTAACACATTCCACCATATCACTTTCCAGACAACTTCCATACTTGATAGATGCGAAAAGCATGTCAACTATGCTCACATCTTTTTCAAAGCGTTCAATAGGCCCTAAACTTAGTATCTTCACCTAACAGGACAATAACGTCTCCATACGCCAAGTCAACTAAATGCTTTCCAGAGAACAGATCAATCTCTACGAGTTTCGCTCCGAAAAAGCATACAAATGCCTACATGGCTCAGATCAACTGTTAAAAATTTCATAGACTGGCATTATATGTCAGTTTCGTCAGCAATCACCTCCTTATGTATCTATACTTTAGCTGATTTCATAGGTTAAGGAAACAAGTAAATGTGTTTAGAAGCATATAAGAAGGATAATTTTTCTTTAAAAAGAGAAGAAATTATCGAATAACAACAGTGACAACAACCATGTAAGCAATAACAACAGCTATCAATAGCAAAGCTAATGACGACGACATAGTTTTTCTGTTTGAAATTTAAAAAGGACAATTAAACTTACACAGTCAAATCTAATAGTTGATAATTGCTTAATTCCGATAAAAACAAGGATTATTTTCGTATTGACAATCAAAATTGCTTACAACTGGTTCATTTTACAAATTTTAGTAAGGTAATAAAAACAAAACCTCACCTAGGTAACTAGTACACTAGTTACTAACCGGTCATAAACACGGAAAGTTGGGAAAAGGATTAGCAACCCTACCTTGTAAAACAAATACAATCGCTAAAGAAACTTCAAAGCACAAAGAAAATATAAAACACAAAAACAAACTTATTTCTCACTGGGATCGGACGGACGAAATGACGCCGGTTGGTGAAAGCCTTCGGGAAGCCAGTCGGTCGATGTGTCCTCTCTCGATGAAACCGAAAATAAGGATGGGGATATGGAATATCCGTACCATGTATGAATCTACCAAGGCTGCCCAGATTGCGAAAGAGATGAGGAGGTATGGCATGGAAGTGCTTGGAATCTGAGAAAGCAGATGGAACGGAAGAGGACTCTCCAAACTGTCAACCGGAGAGTCAATAATCTACTCCGGTCACCCAGACGACAAACACGAGCACACTGAGTTTTGGGGTGGCTATCATGATGTCCCCAACAGCATCGAAGGATCTAATGCAGTGGGAACCAATCTCCTGCAGGATCGTGACAGCAAGATTCAACTCAAAAGGAAGGAAGGTCACAATCATACAATGCTACGCTATCCACCTACAAATAATGCAGATCAAGAGAAGAAGGAGAAATTCTACAGACGACTGCAGTCAACACTGGACAAGACCTCAGTTGGTGACATCAAGATCCGTTAGAACAATGGGTGGGGTGACATGAATGCCAAACTGGGAGCGGACAACATAGGAAGAGAACTCATCATGAGTCGAGAAGCACTCGGTGAAATGATCGAGAATGGAGAACTGTTTGCAGGTTTCTGCGCATTCAACGATTTGGTGATTGGAGGCAGTGTGTACAAACACAAGGATATTCACAAGGCGACATGGATTCAGTTTCACCAGATGGACACACTAAAAGTCAGATCGACTTCATTTCAATCTGGAGAAAATGGAGACGCAGTCTACTGGACACAAGATCAAGAAGAGGAGCAGATGTAGGTTCCAACCACTCACTTTCTAGAGCAAGAAAACTTCAAAATCAAGTTGAAACCTTCCAAAGAAGTTGGTGGTGGACCACAGTTGACGTTCAACAGTCAGAACAGAAAGTGAAGTGAAGGACGAGACTACAAAGGACATCTGCACGTCAGCCACCAGGAAAAAATGGGAGACATTAAGCAACATCCCTGAAGAAAACTGCGTGGAAGAACACTGGAACTCTTTGAAACAGGTGTGGAAAGAAACCTGCATCACCCTGTTAGGAAGGAAGAAGAAGAAACAAGACAAGGAATGGATCTCGACGGACACGTAGAAGCTGATAGAGTAGGGAGAGGAAGATGGTGAAGCAGAAGATGAACCAGTGCAAGGATGCACAACGAAAAGAGGAACTGAACACAACCTATAAAACACTGGACAAAGAAGTGAAGAAGAGTGCGCAGAAAGACAAAAGGCACTTTTACGGCACACTTGCAAGTGAAGCAGAACAGGCTACGGGTAGGAGAGACCTGAGAACATTATATCAAATAACCAGGTTACTATCCGAGAATAGATCAACGCAGACGAAACCAATGAAAGATAGTGAGGAAAACTTAATTACCAAAGAAGAGGAATAAAGGAAACAGGGCTGACCACTTCCAAAAAGCTCTTGAGTCGACCACCACCTGCAACCCGTCCAGAAATACCACCAGCAGCCACAGAATTACCAGTGAACACAAGTCCTTTAACAAAAGCAAAAGTCCTGAACGCCACAAAGTTGCTGAAAGCCGGGAGAGCAGCGGAACCAGATGGAATTCCACCAGAAGCACTGAAAACAGGTGCAGAGAACAGCGGACATACTCACACCACTACTACAAAAGGTTTGGAAGGAAGGAACGAACGAAACGCACCTGCCCATTGATTGGAAGAATGGCTACCTTGTCAAACTCCCAAGGAAGGGAGACCTAAGTATGTGCAGGAACTGGCGTGGAATCATGCTACTGTCCACTCCAAGAAAAATATTAAGCTGCATCATCCTGTAGAGACTAAAGCATGCACTGGATTCAAAATACGACCGAACAGGCTGGCTTCAGGAAGTACAAATCATGTGCGGATCAAATTGCAACGCCACTCTACGCATCATCATAGAACAGAGTATAGAATGGCAGTAACTTCTCTACCACACCTTCATCGATTTTGAAAACGTCTTCGACAGCGTCGACCGAGAGGTAATTTGGCAGGCAGCTGCTTCAACACTACGGCTTTAGTGCCACAAACCTTCATCAACCTCACTCAACAGCTATATGAAGACGCCGCATGCCAAGTAATTCACAATGGGAAGCTCAGTGATGCCTCTGAAGTGAAGACAGGAGTAAGACAAGGTTGCCGCCTACCATCACCGATGATCTTCCTGATTGTGGTCGACTGGATCATGCAACAAACTGTGAGGAGCGAGAAGGTGGGCATACGCAGTTTGACTGATGAAAAGAGCCTAGAAGACTCAGATTTCGCCGATGATTTATGTTTAATATCGCACAAACTCGAAGATCGACAGGCGGAAACTAACAAGTTGACAGAAGAGGCAGGGCAGCGAAAACGGGACTTCCTTTAAGTGAACGTAGAGAAGACAGAAGTGATGGAGATACCCAACCAACAACAGCATCAACAATAAGCACCAATCACCATTAACGGGAGAAACCTAAAGGAAGTAGTCTCTTTCACCTACCTACACACAACCATTTCAACTACAGGCGGCACAGGCACAGATGAAGACGTCAAAACCAAGATCGGAAAAGCAAGACAGGCCTTCATCCATCTCAGAACAAAGAACAAGATCCGAATTTTCAACACTAAGTCAGTCAAGCCAGTGCTTCTATATTGTTCAGAGACTTGGCGCGCTATCAAAAGCATTTCCAACAAACTACAGACGTACATCATCAACAACTGCCTACGTTCGATACTGAAGATCAGATGGTCAGAAAGAATAAGCAACAAGGAACTCTAGCTTGGCAACAAACCAACCAAGAACCCATCGCCCAACAAATATGTAGGAGAAAGTGGAGATGGATCGGGCATACACTGGGAAGACCACTGGGGACATCACGCGCCAGGCACTCGAGTGGAATCCAGAGGGGGAACGACAAGTTGGGGGTCCCAGCTGAGGGTGACATGGGGGAGATCATGTGAGGAAGAAATGAAATCTTGTGGGCAGTCGCGGAGCCAGGTTCCAAAGATTGCAGAGAACAGAGTGGAATGGAGGCGTGCTACTGAAGCCCTATGTCCCACTAGGAACCCAAGGAGAAAAAAATAGTAATAATAATATAGTTTGTTTTGTTAAAGTTTGATTGAAAGAAAAACATGAGGAAGTTAGATTTATTTAATAAATTTTTAGTTTCACAGAGCATTGGTATTCAGAGGATACATCTCTTCTAGTGGATTTGGAAAGATAGAGGAAAAAAAGCACCAACCGACAAATCAACATTCAGTGTTCATCATGGACTAACATTGGTGTAAGAACCACTGAGAACCTGGAAGCATTGGATAGCTGTTTCGTCCTAACTTGAGACACCTAAGGGTCTTGAGTTCGGTCCCTTGTTGGATGATGAGTGCGTACTTCTGAGGAGTTACATAATAGGATGAAACAGCCATCCAGTGCTCTCAGTTTTTCAATGGTTCTCTTGCTGATTTCAGTCCGTGATGAACACTAACTTAAAATGTAGAATAAAATGACTAGATAAATAAAGTGGTTACATAAATTCTATACTAACAACTGTTCATTTGATGTCTTCAAATCCATTACAATGCCAGTGTATGTACAACAATTTTTCTGAAGTGAGAAATAAAAATACAAAGATAGAGATAACTGTAAGAAAAACATGAAGGTATATGTGTTGATGAATTAATTTCGACACATTCAACTTTCAAATTATGAGCCACAGGTCCTAACCTAATTCTGTTTACAAAACGGGATGATGAATGGCTGATAAGACAAAAGTTCGGGTTCGAACAGGACTTACACTAGCAACTTCCGCTTAGCCAACTCTGACTAATCATTAACGGACAGAATATACATGGTTCTCAGAACTGAATGAACGAATCTGTGCTTAGACACAAAGTTGATTGATGCACTGAAATCTGTTAACCAGTCTTATTTTGCTACTAACTCATTAAATAGAAAGCTTAGACGATAATCTGAAAGGTGTTAACTTAAAAAACATATCTGAACATATATCATACTTCTTCAACTGGATCAGTGTTTACCAGCTGAAGGTATTCTATATTCTATACAACGAACTAATTGACTTGTGACTAACTTGCACAGCAAAGTGTGATAAATCATCAACAGCAGCATCAGTTAGTTAGTTATATGTTGTGCTCACAACTATGTGCACAGAGGACTGAATATTTGTGGTGTCGTTTGATAGATATAGCTTCCTTATTCACAAACATTACCTCTCTTCAGGAAACGTTAGAATCATATACCAGTATAGAGACCTTCTTCCCATGCCAGGAACAGAATTCAGACACCTACTAATTTTTATAAAAGATGTTTAGTTTTAGTCCAACAGAAAAGTCTACTGTCAAATTGATGGGGTTAGCAATAGGGAACCCACTAGATCTCAGTATTGGTGGATATCTTTGCGGCTAATCTACAGAATACGAAACTGAAGGAAGCAACCAGTGAAACATTTTATACCAGGTACTTCGACGACACTTTTGGTGTTTATAATGATTTATCTCATGAATCGCATTTGTTAGAACGTTTTAATAAAGTCCATTACAACACTGAATTTACAATGGTATAAGAAAATAATAAAAACCTCAATTTTCTGCATATCATCATACATACTAGGATAGAGAGCATGCTCCAAAGGTTCATTCATTGAAAGACCACGTAGTAGTATAGTTAGTACCTTACTGAATTTTGATGGTTTTTGTTTCATTTATTACAAACGAATATTAGTTAGAATCTTATTTCACACAGAGAGTCATTTCAAACACGAAGCCGAGTATTGCTACGCAACTGTCCAAGTTGCTACAATTCACATCAGTACATCAAGGCATCAGACAGTAAGATACATTTCATACCCAAATCCCCTTTATGAACTTGAGGAGGGCTAGAAAAAAGTGTGAGCAGAATAAAACGGATGCATTTTATTTCCGTGGTGTCTTGTTAATTGCTTACAACCCCCAGAATATTAAAATACATAGTTTTGCTGAAAATTTAACATCTCTTAATTCGTTGAGAGGGAACAGAATATCGGTTAGTGGTTAACATGTACACCAATATTCATAACGGAAAATTAAAAGAAAGTTAATAAATGGTAATAAATTGTCACAGTCACACACACAACTCAATGGAAGTTTCTCGAATGGAAATAACAACGGCAGTAACAATAGAAATAGAGAGACCTAACAATATGGGATTACCCGTTAGTGGAGGATGAGTTGCAAACAATCAAAAGATGTCTATGGGACTATGGGTATCCACACAGATTTATTGGGAGATGCAGAAAGTCAGATAAAAAGCCGTGGAAAATTACGACCAGCGAAAAGGCTTGTATTCATTTGCCTCAATTCCAAAGGAAGGAACTACATACAGATGACTGAAGAAATCATTGGCAAGAACTTCCTCTGCAGTCAGGTTAATTCCTGTGCCAAATAATGTGCTCTTTAGGTCAGTGAAAAGTTGGCAGGTACCCTTCCTACGTTACCTCCAAACTGTGTATGTCAACTTACGTTGGGCTGCCGAAGCAGATACATTGGAAGAACAAAAAGGTGAGCGTATCTTAGATTCTGTGAACAAATTCTGAAGAGCCTATGACTGAGAGGAAGTAACACATTGAACAGTGTACCCACCCAACATCTCATTGACACTGGACATCAAGCGGACATCTTCAATTCCTTCAACATGATAAACAAACAAACGAGCTCAATTCTCCGGATGTTTGCTGAGACCATAGTCACTAAACGCCTCAAACCTGATTTGTGTCCAAAAAGAAGCTATAGTCAACCTGTCTAAACTGGTAATTCTTCGACTGTTATTTGATTACATCACCCTTTATCAAGCATAGACGTTTATTCCTTTTCTTATTGAGTTAGATCATTTTCTATTCGTATCGATTTTTTTTAACTAACTGAGTTTAACGCATAATATTTTGCTTATTTATCGTATGATCTACTTACGCAATCTTATACTGCTAAGTCCCTCAGTATTTTGACTGCTCTTGTCACTATTTTCTATTCGAGAAACTTTCATTGGACTACGCATTTGACTGTGACCATTTGCCACCATTTATTAACCTTCCTTGAATTCGCTGTTATGATTTACTGCTATGCTATGACTATTTGTGTCCATCTTAACCACTGACCAACATTCTGTTTTCCTTCAGTAAATTTAAGTATGTTACGTTTTCAGTTAAACTATACATTTTGAAATTCTATGTTATGAGCAGTTGACAAGATACCACCGAAATAAAATAGATCCATTTTATTCTGCTCTCACTACTGTTCGCAATCTTTTCAAATTCATACACATGAGTTTTTCTAGTCAGTAAATGGTTCCAGGGTGTTTCAAGTATAAATAGCCTCTTTGAGCTATTTAAATATGTCTCTACAAATTTAATTCCTCCTATGGAGCTAGTTATATAGGGTGCACAAAGCGAGCAGGGTTCTTAACGTTTCTCTGAGCACTATCCTGCATTGTCGTCAAGGGGAGAATGTAATTCGATTAACAGTTCAGCTCTTGAACATTTGGTCAACTCAAGAGTCCTCCTTTGCTGTCATTTAAAGAGTCAAAAGGAGTACGCTTTCGACAGTTGTGCACAGCAGAAGCACTTCCAATTCACCAATTCAGGCCTGATCTCTACGTGTAAAAGAAATATGTTCAATCTCTTATTTTACCATGGTGTTAAAAACACTCAGAATTTTTCGACTTCGTTATAATTAGTTTACTATTATCACCTTCATTATGACCCTTATTGCTTTCTTCTTCTTCTATCAAGTAGTTACTGAATCTTTGCACTTCACATCATCTACCAGCGATTCCCACCTTGTCATTCTCGTTATTTACATCTTCTAAAAGATTATTACGCAATTTCTTTGCAGTCTTAATTCCAGTTATAACACTGGGTTCGTGATGCAATTATACCCTATTGTTCAATAGCAGACATATGTTTGTGATATACATAAAAACACGATTCTGCAGCTTTAGAAGACGAAGTTGTAGAGAAAGAAAATTTCCTTCTCTGAATTATTACTTCTTTTCTTCCTGAAACAATGCTTAACTTAATATGTATTATCTTTTTCAAGTCCTAAGGTTAAGAGAAAAACAAACATATCTAATACTGTTACAATACTCGGAAGAAGTTGGTTTTTCAAAGGAAAAACAGTTTTACAGTATTGACAAACTCTATAAGAACAGACAACAAACATCCATTGTGTGTAAACATTCACTAAAAATTTATTTCTAATAAATTCATTCTTTCCATAATGCACAAATTTTTCACGGATATAGTTAACAAACATCCAGTTGCCCCTAGCTTTGGAAGTTTTTCAAGTTTAAAATCGCCTGTAAAACAAAGTGTTTTATAGATAGATAGACAGACAAACAAACAAACTTAAAAATAAAAGTACCTTACTACTTAGCACCACAGAAAGGAAAGAAGAAGTGAACAGAAGTGGAAAGGCATCAGCACAACAATGAGAATATAAAAGGAAAAAGAATAAGTGAACAACAGTTCATAACATTATTCATACATTGGAACTTGAAAGTAAGAGAGGACCTACATTTTTGAGCTCTTAACATTTTAAGTCAGATAGAAAGACGAAATCAACATGGAACCGTACACAGAAGTGCATCGGTTACGGTTGCCACAATTCACAACAACATGAAAAGAACAAGTAATGACAAAAATAGTAACATAAAAGTGAACAAAGACGCATATGGGTGAAGAGATTTGGGGATTCGCGTCAGTGCGAATGTTCAAACACTAAGAGACATCAAATAGTGAATGCATCTGCCCATAGTGACTGCTTTTCAGTCATGCCACCAGACGTCTCCAAACATTGGTTCCCATTATCTCGAGGACCCCAACCAAGTAGTCTACACCCTCCCCACCCCTACATGCATCAGACAGAGTCAGAGACTACATGCACTACTGCCAAGTCTTGATCTGGTCACCCTGAGCCTCCTTCCAACGCAATCCAACTTTAACTAACACCGGATATCGAGGTAGACGATAGCTCAGCATACGCAGCACACGTCTAAACCATCTGAATTGGCTAAGGTTCATAACTCCACTAACCAAGTTGATTGCCTTGCCTAGTTGTCATCGCCAAACCTCGACGTTTCTTATACAGTGATCCCACCAAACGTAAGCAATGCTGTAACGACTTATGTGGTCAAAATTCTATAATTTCTCCACAGCTTCGACTTTCAACGATCATTTCTCACAGCCATATACTTGAACAGAGCGGATTGCATTGCAGTTTACTCGTCCTTTGTAACAGGTGGTTGGGCATTTATCTCCCAGTGCCAGAGATCGCGTAATTTGGTGAAACGCCAAACAAGCTTTTTGTATTAGAACTGACATTTTGTTAACAACTAGCCCATTTGGGATGATACAACTCCCTAAGTCAACTGGTTAACACATTCCACCATATCACTTTCCAGACAACTTCCATACTTGATAGATGCGAAAAGCATGTCAACTATGCTCACATCTTTTTCAAAGCGTTCAATAGGCCCTAAACTTAGTATCTTCACCTAACAGGACAATAACGTCTCCATACGCCAAGTCAACTAAATGCTTTCCAGAGAACAGA